TTGCTCCTGGCAGACCTGGTTAGAATCCAAGCTGTGTCACTTCCCTGGTAGGTGAATCTGGTGTATCCCTAACCTCCCTGGACCTTGGTTTTGATATCTGTAAAATGGGGCTCATGATACCAACCACAAAGAGCTGTCAGAGGGTTGAAATAGGATGCAGCAAAGTCCCTAGTGGGCTGTTAACCTTATTACAGTTGAACACACATTTATAGACCAGGATCTTTCCTGTACATTCCCCATTTACCTGGGAAGGGGGTGAGATTAAGCCCACTTTACAGATATGGAGCCAGGCTCTGATGGGCTCCATGTTACTTGCCCAAGGAAACCCAGTTAGAAACGACCCAGGCATTTTCAGGCAGACCTGTTTCAAGGCCAGCACTCCCAAACCACAGCGAGCAACCCCAGCACAGCCAATGTCACCCAAGCCCTTACTTTTCAGCAAGTGCTTTGTGTGTATCACCTATGACGACCATGCTACGGAGCAGGGTGAACTGGATCCCACAGATAAGGAAGCTGAGTTGTGACAAGCGAAGTCACTTGTCCAATGTCACACAGCTAGATTCCAGCACAGTCACTAACTGTGACGGCACTGCCCTAGGTCACTATGTTCTGCCCAGTCCTGGCAGGTCACAGGGCCCAACCATGGTTCATGCCAGAAGGGTCCACTAGACTGACTTCCCTGTGGGAACCTCTGGGTTCCCAATGGAGCAGCTGGCCCTACCAGGCCCCAGGTCCCAGTTCTTTGGTGGTCCTAGTTCTTTGGCTGTGTGCCAAATGCGAAATGAGTACCTTAAGCATAAACAGACTGCTCCAGAAGGCTCTCCTGATTCAAGAGGGGCAGGAACTCATGCAAGTAAGCCAGAGGGGAGTCCTGGGTGATTCTGGTAATCTAGCTCTGAGCCTTGACTTACTTATCTGCAAAATGGGCTCCCAGAATGATCAGCTTTTCAGGATGAGATGAGGACCTTGTGAGGCCACAGACATGAATGTCAATTGTAAACTCTAAAGTGCCGTCTACTTATGAGTGATTAGTATTTTATTGCCGCAGTCTGGCTGGGCACAAAATCACGAGCCACTCAAGCAGGAACAAAGTTTATTTTTTGAAACTGCCGCCAATGTCCGGTACCGCCCGGGAAGATTTTTTCCACACACGCGGTCTCCTCTCGGACCGCCGAGAGCTCTTCCCCCGGAACTCCCTCCTACTGTACTTCCCCAACCAATGGGAACTCTCCAGGAGTCCTGTAGCCGGCCTAGGTGAACAGCAGGAGTCCAATATCCATATGAATGCAAATCTTAACATAATCATATCATCTCAATGGCTAGCTGGCGTCACCTTTCGACCAAAAATGCCATGCATCATATACTTGGCTCTTAGCATTTTATTATCTGAACGATGGGAAATACCCTTGAAGTTGGGAAAATGTAGAGTGTGAACTTAGGAGAGAGGGTCCCTAGCAGGTGGGAAGCTCAGGGTCTTACATGGGTGGGACTTGACCCTGGCTTTGCCCATCACCCTGCTTTTCCTCCCTAAGATGAGCTCACCCACCACTCAGCCCATATCTGCCACTCATCATGTCCCTGGCTGATGATCTAGGCATGGTTGAGTATGCTGTGTGCTTCAGGGCAAGGGGGAGGGGAACAGCCATTTTCTAGTACTTTCTGTGCGCCAGATGCCAGCAAGGATGCTCCTAAGGGGTATTTTATAGATGAAGAAAAAAAGGCTTAGAGAATTAAAGTACTGGCCCAAAGTCACATTGCTACTGAGTAATAGACCCAGGGTTGGGACCCAGGTCTGCCTGACCCACACCAGTGCCATCAACTGTCCCCATTTCCACCTTCGTCCCGACCCCAGTCCTGTTCTGCTTAGAGTGGCCAGAGTCTAACCTTTGTTTCATGGAAATCTGGCTCTAGACAATGGCAATGAGAGGGCGACCTCAGCCCTGGCTCAGCTGCCTTCAGGTCCCCAGATGCACCCGAGCCCGCCCCTGCTGGCCCAGGCTGGCCTGCCAGGCAGCAGCGCTCAGTGTCTCTGGCAAGTCACTTGTGGTCAGGAACCGGGGATTCTTCCTTGCATTCATTCCTCATCCCCCCAAAAAATGAGGATATACCCCAAACCGATTACTTCTGACTCACAGAAGAGGGAATTTATAAAGTAAAACCACTCTGTGGGCTCTCTCTTCACATTATTGATGGTTTCCCTTGCTGAGAAGAAGCTTTTTAGTTTGAATCCATCCCATTTATTAATTTTTGATTTTATTTCTTGAGCTTTAGGAGTCTGGTTAAGGAAGGCAGACTTCATCCAACGTGATGGAGATTTGGGCCTACTTTTTCCTCTACTAGATGCAGGGTCTCTGGTCTAATTCCATCCTTGGTCCACTTAACTTTGAGTTTTGTGCATGGTGAGAGGTAGTGATTTAATTTCATTTTGCTGCATATGGATTTCCAATTTTCCCAGCACCATTTGTTGACAAGGCTATCTTTTCACCAATGTATGTTTTCGGCACCCACAGAGTGGGAGAACAACTTTACTACACGAACGTCAGATAGAACACTAATTTCCAAGATAAATGGGCCAAGGAACTGAACAGGCACTTCTCAGAAGAAGATATATACAATTGATCAACAAATATATGAAAAAATGTTCAACTTCTCTAGTAATTAGAGAAATGCAAATCAAAACTACTCTAAGATTTCATTTCGCTCCAGTCAGAATGGCAATTATCAAAAGAATATAAGCAATAATAAGTGTTGGCGAGGATATGGGAGAAAAGGTACACTCATACACTGCTGGTGGGACTGCAAATTGATGCAACCACTCTGGAAAGCAATATGGAGATTCCTTAGGAAACTTGGAATGGAACCACCATTTGACCAAGCTATCCCACTCCTTGGTCTATACCCAAAGGACTTAAAATCAGCCTACTATAGTGATGCAGCCACATCAATAAACATTTTATAGCAGCTCCATTCACAATAGTTAAACTATGGAAACAATCTAGATGACCTTCAACAGATGAATGGATAAAGAAATTGTGGTATATATACACAGTGGAATATTATTCAGCCTTAAAAGAGAATAAAATTATGGCATTTTCAGGTAAATGGATGGAGTTGGAGAATATATGCTAAGTGAAGTAAGCAATCAACAAAAAATGAAGGCCAAATGTTCTCTCTGATAAGTGGATGCTGATCCATAATGGTGGGGGGAGTGGGAAGAATGAACAAATTTTGATTGGGCAAAGGAAATGGGAGAAGAGGGGAAAGGACATGGGGACAGGAAAGAAGGTGGAATGAGATGGACAACATTGCCATAAGTACATATATGACTGCACATACGATGCAACTCTACATCGTGTATAACCAGAGAAATGAAAAGTTGCGCTCCATTTGTGTGCAATGAATCGAAATGCATTCTGCTGTCATGTATAACTAATTAAAACAAATTTTTAAAAAGTTTTTCAAAGATATGTAAAAAGTAAAACCAAATAGGCGTTTGTGGCAGGGATGAGGGGTGCACTCCGGCTGGATGTGCCCATGAGGAAGACTGGGGTCTGGTCTGCTTAGGAAGGATGTTCAATGTGTGGTTGGCGAGGGATGGAAATGGAGGCCTAGGAGAGCCAGTGCCCTCCCCACCCCTGGGTCCCCAAGCCTAGGTGGGGTTCCTCCACTGTTCCACTGTCGCCAGGACAGCTGCCCTCCTGAGCAGCCAACCAGTTCTCAGCAGATGTTACAATGATGGTCAGATGTAGCCCGGGAGCCAGGTCAGCTCCTGCTCTGGGGGCTCAGAAGGGGACTGAAGAGGCAGAGGTGCAGGAGGGAGGTCAGGGGGACTTCTGCCCACCAGCTCCCTCTCCCGGATTTAGATCACTCCAAGCTTTGGCTTTCCAGAAAGGAGCAGCACTGGCTGTTCTTTGACTGCCCTTGAAGTTCCAGCTGCTGCCTTCCTTGGTATAGCTGTCCGCCAGGAGCCCTGGACTCCAACTTTCTGGGTTCAAGTCCTGACTCTGCTACTTTCTAGCTCTGAGAACTTGATCAAGTTGCTTCATCTCTCCACCTCTGTTCCTCCCTGTGCAAAATGGGAATAATAATGGTTCCTGCCTCATAGGATTGTTAAGAGGATTAAATGAGGAAATATATATAAAGGGCTTAGAGCACATTAAGTCCTCTGTACATATAAATTAACACAGTAAATATAAATTAAAAACCACTCCAACTAAGGTCCTTGTCCAAGCATGGGAGAGCCGCACCCCAGCCTGTGCCTTCTTCCCTTGCCTCTCACCTCTTGAGGCTCCTGGCGGATTCGTGCGCATGTGCATATGCATGCAAGATCCAGTGGGACTGGGCTGGGGATGTGGCTCAAGCGGTAGCGTGCTTGCCTGGCATGCGTGCAGCCCAGTTTCGACCCTCAGCACCACATACAAACAAAGATGTTGTGTCCGCCGAAAACTAAAAAATAAACATTAAAAAATTCTCTCTCTTTCTTTAATAAATAAATAAATAAATAAAGATGTTGTGTCCACCGAAAATTGAAAAATAAATATTAAAAAAAAAGTCCAGTGGGACTGAGAATGGGGGCTTGTCAGGGCTTTTCTTAAGCAGGGTGTTTTACTTTTTCACAAAAGCTTATAGTAGTGAGACAGTATTTTATAATTTAACACATACATGAAAGAAAAGGATGGGGGTGTAGGAGGAAGTGAGGGGGTGGTGACTTTCCCCATAGGGGACGGGATTCCTCCATCCCACATCTCAGAGAGAGTGTGCCTCCCGGCAGCCCCTTCTTTGACCCTCCCTCTACACACACAGCCTGAGGAGGTGCCCCAGCTCACAGCACATGGCCCCCTGCCCTCTGCCCACGTCTGCGGGTCCCCGTCGGGGAGCCGGGGCCAGCACTCTCTCTCCCCTTGCTCACACATGTCTTCTCAGGTGCTTCCTTGTCCACCCCAGCCCTTGTCCATTTATCCCCTGGCCCCGCCTGAGGGACGCCCTCTGTTCTGTTATAGAATGCTTCCCCGGCAAGGACGCCCCCAGCCCGGGCTTCTCCAGCAAGGACGTCTCCGGCTCGGGCCTCCCCATCCAGGTCCTCATCGGGAGGGTCATCATCGGCCAGGTCAGCCTCCACGACGTCCTCTCCAACAAGAGTGTGTCTTGTTAGAGCGACACCAGTGGGGGCTGTCCCAGTCCGGGCATCTCCTGCCAGGTCAGCGCCAGCCACCAGGGCCAGTGGGGAGAGCCCAGGTAAGGGGGACATGGCAGGGAGGGCAGGAGGAACAGGGAAGCAGTCTGTGGGTGTCAGGAGATCTCAGCTGGCGCTCTCTGCTCCTCAGGCCTCTGGGATAATGACGTTGGGCATGGCCAGGGTGGGCTGTGAGGGACCTGGGGAGGCAAAGGCAGAGAGGAAGTGTCACTTGAAAACCCAAGGCAGGCAGGCCTGGTTGATATCTGACTGTGACCGGCCACGATGGTCTCCACACCTCTTCCTCACAGTCCCACTCAGACACATTTGGCCTGAAGTATTTTCAGCCCCTGCCCCTAGGAATCTAAGCTCCCTGAGGACAGGGCTCTGTGTTATGTGCTCATTTTGCACCCTACTGAGGTTCCCCCCTGTGCTGGGTTCCTCCTAGCCAAAGAGGTTTGGGGACCATCCCAGTCTTGCTTCTCAGAGTGGGTGAGGCACTTTGGTGGGCTTTGGAATCAGACACACTGCATGTGATCCCCTGCCCTGTCACTCCCTAGCCAAGCAACCTTGGGCAAGTTATTTCATTTCCATGAGCCTCAGTTTCCCTATCTATAAAATGGGACTCAGCTTACAAGGATACTGTGAGAAAGAAGTCAGAGAACATATGCAAAGTGCCTAGCTGGCCCAGAGGAGTGCATAAAAGGGTTGGCATCAGGAGGGTGGAGGCATACTCTGGGTGCAGAGGTCCTAATGGGCCCTCCTGGGCCAGCCTTGCTTCCTTCTCCTCCACCTGCCAGACTCCTCCCCAGCAGCCTTACCTCCCTTGCTGCCCTGCTCCTAGGTCTCGGCTTGCCCAAGTTCTCCTGGCAGGAGAGCCAGAAGCAGCTGCCGCTCATCGGGTGTGTCCTCCTCCTCATCGCCCTCGTGGTCGCGCTCATCCTTCTCTGTGAGTTGAATGGAGGGAGCAGGGGTGGGTTCTGGTGGTTGCCAGGTGGCACAGGGCCCTGGGATGCGGGCACACATCTGGGACAGGGCACCCCATGCTCACTCTGCTACCACATTCATGCAGAGACACTCCTGCAAATGGCCTTGGACCATAGAACAGCCTTTGAGGCAGCTGGGTTAAGAGTGTGGGATGCAGAGGAGCCTGGGCTTGGGTCCCTCTGGGCTACTTCCTGTGCAACTTACCCGGGCAAGTGAGCTAACCACGCTGAGCTCAGTCTCTGCATCTTCAAATGGGACAGAACCCATTTTCATGTGCCCATCAGCTCTCATTCCAACTTCATCGGGTATGAGGACCAAATGAGATGATGGCATAATTCCTGGCACAAATCCTCACTCTCCTAATGCTAGTTACTAAAAAGATAAAAGAAAAAAAAAGCATGAAAACATTGATGAGAAAAAGTATCTCATGGATATCTGGCCAGTTCTAAGTTCAGGGTTTCAGGACCCTTCAATTTCTCCCTCTTTGGAAAAGATACCCAGGGTGCGCCCCAGGCTCTCTGCTCAGCAGTTGACTGGGAGAGCCCAGCACAGGGGGGAACTCAGTAGGGAACAAAAGTGGGCATGCATCACACTCTGACTCCTGGGATTGGCAGAGGTTGGAAATCACTCAGGCCAAATGTGTCTGAGCATGACTGTGAGAAAGAGGTGACACCTATATGGGCCAGGGTGCAGGGGCCAGATGGAGACGTGGAAGATGGAAGAGCAGTTCTGACCTGGACTGGGTCTGAGAGCAGATAAGCAGCATCTGGAAGTGTGGGGGCCTGGTGGTCAAGGCCGGAATGAGGAGAGGGAGGGGACCTGCCTAGCCACAGGGGAGAGTACACACTTGGGGGCCTGGGGTCATCTGTTTGGCTCAGTAAGGCCAGGCCACACAGAGAGGCATAAGGATACTATTGCAGAGACGGTGGGGCAAAGGGCGGGGTGGCTGAGGAAGAGGGCTGTGTGAGAGGGGGCCACGTGCCCACCCAGGAACTCCCTGCCCTCACACCCTGCTCCTGCTTCCTACCAACTGCATGGCTTCAGCAAGTTGTTACCATTCTGAACCTCAGTTTCCCCACCTGATGACCATGTAGTGGAGTCCGTCATGATGTGTGTAAAGGCCTTGCGGGGCCACGTGGCACCTCCTATGGGTGCTCCCACCCTGCTCCTCTCCTGCATCCTGCCCCATGAGAGTGGAAAATGACCCACAGAGGGAGCATATGGCACCCAAAGTTGGGCTCCCTGAATAGAGTTAAGCTTCTGGCCTGGTTTTGGAGCATTTCCTGAAGTCCCCAGTGGCTCCTTCAGGGAGGTCTGGAAATCAGGGCCAGGGAGGTGGTGTGACTTGTGAAGGTCACTGTGCAGCTACGTGGTGGGGTCAGGACTGGAGCCCAGCCTCCCAGCTCCCATCCACATTGAGGTGGCCACTTCACGAACATTCTGAGAGCTGAACTGCCCCGTGTTTCCCAGAGGTTAGGGATTAGGAGGACAGGAGGACCATGACATGGAGAGGAGGGATTTGTGTCTGCACTGGAAGGAGCAGTCACAACAAGTGGCCTTTACCTTGGTGACCAAGAGCAAGTCGTGGGGGCCAGTGGGAGAATGTGGGGTTGGGGCTGAGGAGTCAGCTAGGCCAGGAGGCCGGGTGAGGAATGAGGACTCTGTCTGGGGCATCTTGAGGGCGGGGCGGGTAGTGTCTCCAGGCAGTAGGACAGCAGTTCCTGGCTTGGAAAGGGATTGCTGTTAGAAACAGGAGGTCAAGAAGCTGATTGTATAAGGTTCTTGAAGAGGTTTTCTCATACACTTGAGTGAGAAGAGTTGAGTGAGAAGACATTTGAAGGCATAAAGGCAAGTAGTGAGGCAAGGATAGCCCAGGAGACACCCTCACTTAGGGGAGAGGGAGAAGGAAGCCCACCCAGGAACTCCCTAGGCTGGAAGGACAGTCACCCTTGAGAGGACAAGACCATGGTGGCTGCATGTGTGTGATTGTAGGGATAAAAATGTCTGCTCTGACCCTGTGGAGCACAGAGAAGAGGGGATGCCAGAGGGTCCTGAGGGGCCTCGGGACACTGGAGGGGGTGGTTTCTCCAGCCCCTGCCTCAGCCAGCGCGCAGGGCAGGGGGACCCCCAAGAGCTGCCCACCTCAGCACCCCATCTCTCTCTCTCTCCCCCTCCTCTCTCTGGGTGGCTGGCTGCTCGAGTCTGCCTGGGGCTGCCCTGCTTGCAGGAGCTTTCTGGAGCATTCCGGAGCATTCCTGAGCAGCCTTTCTCTCCATACAGATGGGGGACGAGAGCCCCAGAGTCCGAGAGGGATTGCAGGTCGGTGTCTCAGAACCCCCAGGGCCTTGGGCTTCTCAGTGTCTCGCCTCTGTGGGGTCGGCTGTGACCCAGCTTTTGCTTCTGTTTTTCCAGTCTACTTCTGGCGGGGCCACACGGGGATCAAGTACAAGGAGCCCGTGGAGAGCTGCCCCAAGCACGCAGTTCGCTGTGATGGGGTGGTGGACTGCAAGCTGAAGAGTGACGAGCTGGGCTGTGGTAAGGAGGCTGGACATGGGAGTGTGTGTGTGTGTTCGTGCATGTGCGCACATGTGTGTGTGTGTGTGTGTGTGCATGCACGCTCTGGTGACTTCTAACTGTGGTGCAAACTGTAAGAGATCAAACAGGAGGAAATGGACAGAGAATCAGAAAATCTGGGTCCTAGTTACAGTAGACTTGGGTTTAAAGCTTGACTTCAGTGCTGTGTGACCTGCATAAGCCACTTACCTTCTCAGGGCTGCAGTTTCTTAATTTGTAAAGTGAATGAATTGGACAAGATTAGTGAGTCTCCAGTAAAATCTGACAACTCTCAAATATCAGACTGATCTAAGCGGAGCAGCTCTGACTAGAGATGACTAAGGGGTCCAGAGCACCATGCCTGTGTCCCTCCTCTCTGTCCAGTGGGTGACCTCCACTTTGCCACTCCTGCGGTTTCTTGAAGTTCTAGAGAGAGATCTGTTTGTGCTCTTGTTGTGGTTCGTGAGCGTGTGGCTCGTGAGTGTGTGAGGTCTGCACTCAGCCCTGCTGAGGTGTGTATGTGAGGGTGCCTGTATGTACAGGTGGCCCGTCCATTTCACCTGTGCATAGACATGTCCACTTGTCCACAACTACAATCATCTGTGACAGTCTGTCGTGTCAGATCACAGACCTTATTTCTCTTGTTACCTTCTCCTTTGGGCATGCCACTGTCCTCTCGGGGTGATGGTTCCTGGCAATGTGCACCCCTTCTCCCAGTGGCTCTGGGTCCTTGGTGGAGAGATCTCGCCCTGCCCCTTCCCTGGCCAGGGCTCTGCCCTTGCCCAGCATCTTGGGTTTCCGAGGACTGGCCTGCCACTGCTGCCGGAGCCAACCTCCCGAATGTCCGAGGCCTGAGGGAACGGCCCCAGGACAGGAGCCTCTTGGAGATTCCCTGCACACCTCCCCAAGAGCGAAGCCTCCTGGGTGCTGAGAATCTGCTCTGCCCTTTTCTGCCCTGCAGTGAGGTTTGACTGGGAGAAGTCTCTGCTGAAAGTCTACTCTGGGTCCTCTCATGAGTGGCTTCCCGTCTGCAGCAGCAGCTGGAACGACTCCGACTCAGAGAAGATCTGCCGGCAGCTGGGGTTTGAAAGGTAAACCTCCCGAGGGCCCCAGGGGTGCAGCAGGCTCTTTGCAGGGGTGTCGCAGGCGCATCATAGGAATCCCTTGTTAAAGGGTCATAGGCCACCAGGGCTGATCCTAGTAGCTCAGGGTATGTCTTTCAAAAAGGCAGTGGCCCTGGGATCCTATGAGTGTGGGGCAAGCGGTTTCCCTGAGGCCCCATAATTATTTGCTGTAATCAATCCCCTCTACAGCTCTGCAGCAAAGCACCTTGTGTCGTTGCCACACTGAATGGTTTCAAGCTGCACGAGGAGGCTGGATGTTTGGTCAGGTCTCATCTTCTGACAACTGGGAGCCAGAAACTCAGGCTATGCAAAGCCCTTTGGTGGACTCTGAGCAGTACTAGTTTTTGTTTGGACTAGAACTCATGAAATGGGAAATCAGGTGGGGCAGGTGTGGCCAGGTCAAGTCATAAGAAGCTTTAACTCTAAAGATTTTAAATCAAGGAGCCAATGATGATGGGTGGAACAGGGAGCAGGGTGGATCGTGACCTTCCTACGGAAGGAGCCTCCAGTTGGCAACCTCCCTCTTGGCCTGAGTCATTAAGCTGAGTGGTTTTGTGTGTGAGGTTGTGGGGAAAAGGTTTAGGATCTCCCTGTGGGTTCTCTGTAAAAGAATCACCTGGAAAACCATGGTTGGGGGCTAGGACTTAAAACTAGTTCTCGTCCCTCTCCTCAGCCTCAGAGTCCTGGTGGAGGGCAGGGAGATGCTGAGTAATCCAATAGAAACCAATGACATTTGTTATTCATGAATTGTGTGACCACATTCAAGCCTGAACCCCCGGGGAGATTCAGTTCTTTAAATATCGTTTATTCAAAGAGCATTCACTGAGCTTTCATGAGATGCTAGTGACTATGTGGCACCTGGACACAATGGAGCAAGAGGTGATCCTGCCCTTGGAGATGCTCTAGTAAGAGAGGCTTACACCAACAATCCCACTTAAGGACATGCGTGGGGGCTCTGTGGGCCCAGGACAACGAAGGTGCCTAGCTGCATTTGGAAGAAAGAGCAGAGGATGGAAGGATGGGCCCTCCCTCTGGGTAGAGGAAGAGCATGTGTGAGCTTTGGGCAAGGACACACCACATTCTAGAAATGTATACAATTTCCACACAGAGAGTGGAACACACCAGAATCACCTGAGGTGCTTGTGAAGATATGCCCCAGAACCCACATCTCTGTGATTAGGATTTAGAACCTGCTTAGCACATACCCAAGGGGATTCCTGGCATGCTATGCCCTGAAAGTCACCAGTGTACTTGTCTAGGGTCCTCAAACTTAAAAAATGCAAATCAGCAACCTGGGGATCTTTGCAATGCAGATTCAGACTCGGCAGGTCTGGGATGATGCTGATGCCGCTGGTCATGGACCACAGTTTAGACAGAAAAGGGTGAGATTGGTGCTTCTCAAACTTGCAACAGAACTGCCTCGAGGACCTGTAAAATAAAGATTGCTGGGAGCATCCCCAGAGCTTCCAATTCAATAGGTCTGGGGTAGAACCTGGGAATGTGTGTTTCTAAAGAACTCCCTGTCTGGAACCACGCTTTGAGAAGTGCTGGGCTGGTACACGGGGCTAGTGGGTTGGGGCAGAATATGCAGGTGGGGTCCAACTATATGGGGCCTTGACTGCTGCATGGAAGAGTGGCCACCATTCAGACCACTGCGGTCCAGCCTCTGTCTGCAGGGCTGTTGAGGTGAGGGCTCTCAAGCCAACTGGAGAACTTGGGGCACTCTATCTCCAGTGGGCTCATTCTTCTCCTTCCTTCCTCACAGTGCTTACCGGACAACCGAGGTGGCCCACAGGGATTTTGCCAGCAGTTTCTCAATCTCTGAGTACAACTCCACCATCCAGGAGAGCCTCCGCAGGTGTGGTGGGGTGAACCAGGCTGCCTGCCTGTGAGCAGTGGAATGAGGGGCTGGGAGGGTCTTTGAGTCAGGGAGCCCCTCTCCCTTGCCTTTCATGGACCCAGGCCCCAGGAATCCATCATGAACGTTCAAGGGTATCTCAGTTACGTTCCATTTTCACCACCCCGCCTACTGGCTTAAAAGTTCTTATTTGAGCCTTCGGGCTGAGAGTTTGCCTGGTTGTCAGTGACAATTAGTAAATGCCACGTCCCCTGCGCGGCTCTTAATTCAGTTTTCTGAGCCAGGAAGTGAAGAGATGGAGAAAAGACAGATACACAAATAGAGGAAAAAACTGGGTCTCGGTGGTTGACTACAACCCTGTTAGGAGGTGGTGACACGCCACAAGCTCAGCACGTTTATTACGTAGGTACAAACATCAAAAGGATTTATTGTGAGAAAGTTTCTTCCAAGTAAGCAGAGCCAAGGTCATAAGTATGAGCAGCCTGATTATGATTGTCAACTTGTGCCCATAACTTTCCACCCCCGAGCACCTGGTGTCTGAATCTCAAGGCCAAGAACTGAATAGCTCTGTGGCTGGCTCAGAACCTCCTATTGAATAGGGCTTCACCATAGCAACAGGGCAGTCTCAAATCGAGGCCTTTGAACAGGGTTCCCAAGAGAGGCGTCCCCTCTGTCACAGGACAGTTTGAGAGCCATAATTCAGTTGCTGCCTGACAAATAAATCTTGGGGCCACCCATCGGCCAGGTGTTTGAACTGAAAGCTTCTGCAGAGACTGGAATAGGGGCAGCAGTAAAAAGCATAGCTGGGATTGGGTTGGAGATCAAGAGCAAGGGCACTGCAGGTGCAAGTGGCCAGGGACCAGGAAGCCCATCTAGGAAGCATCAGCCTCCATTGGGACCTCCTGGTTCTCTGTCATCCTTGTGTTGCAGCCCTTCCTCTCCCAGTCTGTTTTAGTCACTTTTTTTTTTTTTTTTTTGGTCACTGTGACCAAAAGACCCGACAAGAATAGTTAGTGGAGGGAAAATATATTCTGGCTCATTGTTTCAGAGCTTCAGTCCATGATCAACCAACTCCATTGCTCTGGACCACAGGTGAGGCAGAACATCATGGTGGTAGGGTGTAGCAAAGAAAGCAGCTCAGGATGTGGCAATGAGGAATCAGAGAGAACACCGTTCACCAAGGACAAAATACCAGCCTGTGAGGCAAAGCCCCAGTGACCCACATCCTCCAACCACTCCCACCTGTCTGCAGTTACCACACAGTGAATCCTTATCAGTGGACTAATCCATCGATTGCTACCACTCTCATAATCTAATCATCTCACCTCGGAATGTTCTTATATCGTCTCACATATGAACTTTTGAGGGATACCACATATCCAAATTGTAACATAATCCACTGGGGGGGGGGGAGGTGTTCCACCCGCTGGCATTGTTTACTTTGTGGAAGGGAGAGAAGAAGCAAGGGTCTGAGAGATGGCGTGGTGCATCTGGATGCCTGCTCTAGGTTAGGTGGGTTTGCTTGTTACCCTGAGGACCTGTCAGAGGAGCCTTTGGTTACCTGTTTAGTTGTGGAAGATGCTAGAACAGTGAAGACTTGGGTTCAAAGAACTGGGAGGGAGGTGAGAATGGAGATAATTTGCTTTGAACCATCCCTATTCCTGGAGAAAGTGCGGAAGGAAGAATTTCCCACTGGGAGAGAGAAAGTCAGTCTCCACTTCTTGTGACAAGGGTAGCTTCCTGGAAATGGGATCGGATCTGAGCAGGAGTCAATTGGGAAGTCTTCCTGGAGGAGGTGGCTACTCTTCTCACCTTCTGTATGTCCTCTTGCAGGTCTGAATGCCCTTCCCAGCGGTACGTCTCTCTCCAGTGTTCCCGTAAGATGCTCTTTTTTTGTATTGTGCTGTGTGTGGGTTGGGAGTCAGGGGGCAGGAGGTGATGAGTGGCCCGGGTCTCAGCAAGGAGGAGGGTCTCAGCCAGGAGTCCTGCTTCGGGACCAGAATCCCATAAGGACCATCCTAGAATCACATTTTCTCTCTCCTAATTCTGATAGGGGTCAGTCAGCAACTTCTCTCTTTCCAAGGAAGCCACACAAGTCTTCTGCACTCTAGGCCAAGGCCAAGGACAGGGCAGGAGTGCAGCCTGTGGGAAGCTAAGGGCTCTGTATCCATAGACAGGGCCCTAGATGGAGATGAGGATCTGGAGCCAACAGCTATGAGCATATTGCACGTGGAGGGCACTGCGCGGTGGCTTTACAATCAAGGCTGCAGTGAGTGCCTGCAGCTTCCCTTGGAGGCAGATGCTAATACTGTCCACCTACCTTTTAAGTAAGGTTGAAATGTTTACATTGCCGGAGGTCAGACAGGCCACTGGCAGATGAAAAGCTGGTATCTGACCTTGGGTCTGACCTGGAGCCCAGGCTGTGACCCATCCCAGAATGACTGTGTTCTCAGTGACAGCTAGGGGCAGGGAGGACACAGGGCTATGGATGGAGTGACCACCCCCCTAGGGCCTCACTCTCTCCCCTGCAAGGAGAAAAGACACTGGTCTAAGCACACTCTGGGGGCTGCCTCCTGGTCCATGATTGCAAGGGTGACTCTCCAGCCATGCTTGGAGATGTTCTCTGAGATGGAGGGCCACCAACAGCACTCAATGACCCATCGTGTGGGCACAAGCCCACGTGTGTACCACAGGAAGTTTATTTCTCCATCATTTTGAATGACAGAGATGCCCTTCACAATGCTTATCAATTCAGGGTCATGTTAGAATCTGTCTGTTTTTTCTGAGCCCCTGGCAGCAGCCCCAGATTGTACCCTGAAACCCTAATGCCTGGCTCAATGACAAACATTGGGCACTTAGTAAGCATTGATCAAATTAATGAAAGATTGAACGAATGAATAGAAGGAAAGGGGAAGCTGTCTCGGATCAAACTTCCTACCAGGTGATCCAAAATGCTGGCCCACCATGTGGTCTTCCTGCTTGGGCAGGAAGTAGCTGTACCACATTAGACTAGGTGAGGCAAAGAGGCATCTCAGGTGGGTGGGAGGGTGGCTGGTGGGCACCCTTCAGGATGGGATGCCTGAGCCTGCAGGGAACCCAGGGAGTGAGGCAGGGGCTTTGAGAGGAGCAGGTTTATGGTTTACGGTTTGTCTCTTCACTTCCCCAGACTGCGGTCTAAGAGCCATAACCGGGAGGATCGTGGGAGGGACGCTGACCTCAGAGAACAAGTGGCCTTGGCAAGTCAGTCTTCACTACGGCATCACCCACATCTGCGGCGGCACGCTCATCGATGCCCAGTGGGTGCTCACCGCTGCCCACTGCTTCTTTGTGTAAGTGCGTGAGGAACCTGTGATTCGGTGCTGCTAGGGATAGGGGATCACCAGGAAGGGCGGATTGTGGACTGACCTCTCGGTGGAGGAGGGCGTGGTGTGACCCAGTGCCCCTGGGCCAGAGGCTGGTGCTGCTGGTCAGGATCTGCAGTGGTTGTTTGGTCCTGGAGCGTGAGTTGGAGCACTTGTGTTGAGGCAGGTCCAAGAATGAGAAAATGCTATGATTTCTCCCAGGAAAGTGAGGCAGGAAGGAAGAGGGACTTTGAACCCTTGCCCTGAAGAGCAGGGTGGAAAAACAGGCTTTGGGCTTATGCCATCTCCTGCAGAGGAGCCTGAAAAGTCAGGAACACGGTCCCAGGAATTGAGGGATGGGGATGAAGAGAGAACAGTGCAGTCAGCTCTGATAGTGTCTGGTCAGTCTTGTCCCCTCAGGGGCCCATACAGCCCAGACCTCAGGGGCTCTGGATTCCCATAAGTAAGTCTTCAGCAGGTCACTCTGTCCCATCTAAATCTCCAAGGCTGCTAAGGGTACTATGACTGTGATCTGTCCCATCCACTGCTTGTTATCCTTGGTGGCCTGCTGATAAGATAGTGGAGTGTAAATGCCACGCAAGTTTTCCACATTGTAAGGTGCAGAATGACTCGTTCAGAATATGGGAGTGTGGGGGATTGCTTTGGATCTCATACAATAGTGGTCCCCTCCAGAGGTCAATTCATCTATCCTCCTGCCTCCAAGCTGATGCTCCTGCTGCAGTTCCCTGTGTGCAGCAGGGGCTGCCAGTGAACTCTGCCAGGCGGGTAACTGGATAGTGCTTTCTTGTGGCAGGACCCGGGAGAAGATCCTGGATGGCTGGAAGGTGTATGCCGGGACTCACAACCTGCACCAGCTGCCTGAGGCAGCCTCCATCTCCCAGATCATCATCAATGGCAACTACACGGATGAGCAGGATGACTATGACATTGCACTCGTGCGGCTCTCCAAGCCCCTGACCCTGTCCAGTGAGTGAATCTGTGCCCCCTTCTCTCTTCCCCAGCACCCTTGGCAGCCCTTGGAATTGGCAGTGCCTGTGGACTCATCTGGGGGCCCTGGACCCTCAGCATAGCAAAAGTCAAAGACTCCTAGACATCATTAGATGGGATACTGCTCTTGGGGATCAGGGACAGGTCCTTGTTGCCCCAGTATTGAAGATTAAACACCAGAGAAACGCTGAGGCAAGGGTAGAAAGAAGTTTTATTTAAGAGAGGGACAGAGATAGACTTCTGCTGAGAGAAGAGGCCCAGAACTGGGGGTGTCTTACTCTTTTATAAACCCCCAGAATCCCCCACCTACTCCTTCTTCTCTGTGTACATGCCTCAGGGCAGAAAGGAGCAGCACAGGGGGTAATCACTTGTGTTGGGCAGTGCAATCCTGGAGGTGTTAGCAACCTATTGAGCTGGGAAGTGTGATCCCAGAGGTTAGCTGTTAGCAACCAGCCCTCATCCTCTCCACCCCCATTATTCATTATCTACGCTGACTGCTAGGCCTTCATCCCCTGTCCCTCGCCTCAGTTTGTTGAGAAATATGATATTTCCTGTCCCCTCAGGCCAGGCGGGGCTGCAGGCCGATTGCTTTTTGGCAAACAAAGCATGCGGGGAGTCAGTACAGTGGGCTCAGTTTGTAGAATTATTCTCTTAACCTTGTGTTCCCACCATCCTCATCTATCTGTCCCCTTACAAATGAAACACTTTTATTTTATAATCAGGGAAATTGAGACCAAGGATTAAAAATGTTTGTTCCAAATGACACATCTCACATTGCAAATTGCTACCAGAGCCAAGGCTTCGATACTGCTCTTAGTCAATATAAATAGGTTGAATTGTTGCACTGGTAGTGACTGAGCAGAGGCCAGCCACTGTGGCAAGCATGTGACATGTATTATTGCATTTACTCCTCACAACCCTCTGGAGCAGGTCCTATTATTAGCTTCCTCTGACACATGAGGAAGTGGCGCTCTAGAGAAAGATAATTACCTAAGGCCACAAGTAATAGGTGGCAGCTTGTGAGATCCAGGTTGATCTGACACCCAAGCAACGCTCCTGCCACTTGGCTCTGGGCTGGCAGATTGTACACACTGCAGCGGAGCGCGTGAGCCAGTGCAAGTTCGACAGCTAGCTGCCGTGAAGTCAGAGCTAAGGACCAGAGGGGGCTGCACCACGGAAATGCTGTGGAAGTTCTCAGGTCACTGCGAATAAGGGATGCCAAATGAGGCTTCATCTCTCATTCACTCATGGGCTCACTTACCAGATACTCACTGTGCACCTACTATAGGCCAGCTCTGCCATTGCAAAGCAAACAGAACCAAACAGGTGACCCACACCCAGACAACCAGAAGGGGCCACCAGTGTGATGTTGGGGGCCAGGGAAGCTGTGGTGACACAGATGGGGGCACCTAATCAATCTTGAAAGGCTGAGAGATCCAAGATTCTCAAAGGCCTGGTGAAGGGGGCCTCAAGAATGGGGTCAGAATCCTCTAGCACAAGCAAGCCTCACTGGTGGCAAAAGCTGGAGGGCCTCTTTTGGAGGACTGGGATTTCTGGAAGCCTTGGAGGATTCTGGTTAGTCCAGCCATTCTGGTGCTCTGAGCCTGTGAGCTGGTGTTTCCTGGCACATTCATTACGGAGGCAGTGCTGACATGAGTCAGACTGCTTAGCTCCTCAGAGTCGGGTGAGGAGGAGGATCTCGGGCCAGCTCCTACAGCAGGGCCAGACCGGAACCACGCCCACTCAGGCCACGCCCACCAGAGCCACACCCTCAACCCTCCCCCCTCCAGCCCTGCCTGCAGAGACTGGGGCTGAGGTGGGGTTACATACACAAGGGTCTGTCGGTAAGCAGGACCAGAATGGGTCTTTTCAATCTTGTAAGACCTGGACTTCATCTGGCTAAACATCCAGATCTTACTTCTTACCCATCTTCTTGATATTATTAGGAATTCCAAAACAAATTAAGTAGTTTCTAAAGCCAATGAAAGCTATGAAATATTGCACAGCCTTCTCAGAAAGTAGCATTCCCTTTCCAGGGTTTGATGGGCCCCTGAGCTGGAAGAAGAGCCTTCATTTGAAAATTGCAATTCAGATTTATATAGCCCTGTGATCAGACTATGTGCCCTGACTTTTAGTTTATAAATTAGGGCTGATTTTTTTAAAAAACTGGTTTGGAAGGCCAACCACATTGAGTTACAGTACTTTATGAGAAAATTGTGAAAACTCACTGATGAATTTAATTCTCCCTTAAAACAAGCAGAATACATAATAACAAGTAGAATATATAATAACAGAACACAGAACAGTATTACATGTTTTTAAGAGTTTGCATCTCAAAAATGGGCCCATCACCAAACAGAGGTCTGAGGAGATTCCCCAGAAGAGAGAAGTGGCCCTCAACTTGGCCCTTGTAGGCTATTGATATACATTGCCCAAAAGAATTTCAGGATACAGCCAGAGTCACAGTGACTAACATCTGTAATCCCAGCAACTTGGAAGGCCGAGGCAGGAGGATTACAAGTGCAAGGCCAGCCTCAGCAACTTAGTGACAGCCTGTCTCAAAAAATAAAAAGGGGGCTGGGATGTGGCTCAAGCCGTAGCGTGCTCACCTAGCATGCGCGGGTCGCTGGGTTCGATCCTCAGCACCACATAAAAATAAAATAAAGATGTTGTGCCCACTGAAAACTAAAAAAAATAAATAAATATTAAAAAATTCTCTCTCTTTCTAAAAAAAAAATAATAAAATAAGAAGGATTGGGATATAGCTCAGTGGTAAAGTACCCCTGGGTTCAATCCCCAGGATTAAAAAAAAAAAAAAATCAGGATGCATCAGAAAGAGGCATGAGATGTATTTAGGAATGCAAGGAGTACACACTCAAAGGGACAGAAAATGTGTGTTCCTCGAGAGTGAGATGCATTTTGGGGTCTCAGGTTCTTCTTTTAAAGGAAACTTTGTAAATAGCGAACATAGAGGTATGGGGGCGGGGGGCGGTGGCAGCACAGAGCACAGGTCCCGTGATCTGGTTCTTTTTTGGATCTTTAGGTTTGGAATGTCCTCATTATAGAGGTTTCTAACTATAGTTTCCTTTGGCTTTATTTACTCTAAAGAAAATAAGTTGTGTAAACTCGCAACGCGCATGTAGGCATTAATTAACCAGATTCACAATACTCTAAGATTCTTGGGCCTTTCAGGAATTTAGGTCTGGAGGAAAACAAGCCTGGGAAGTGAGGGTGAGGGTGTCCTTGGAGCTTCTTAGGTTTAAAGTTAGTTTCTTCTCCCTTCCCTGGTGGTCTCCTTTCTACCTAATCCTATTTCCTCTATCCTACTTCAGACATAGAAAAGAAATCATTTTTTGTTAATGATTGATGCTCTCCCTTCGTGTGTGTGTGTGTGTGTGTGTGTGTTTACAGAGATAAAATGTGGGAGACACTGATATTCAAAGCCCTATTTATGAGAGAGGAGCTTCCCTTTCTTCCTCTCATCCTCTCCGTTCATGGAGCATTTAATATGCGCCAGGCCCTATTCTAAGTGCAGGATGCTGCCATGAACACAACAGACTTTGGAGAGCATTGCAAAAGTCTATTTTTCAAGCAATATTTTCCTCCTGCAAGTTGGAGTTTGGTGACTAATGCTCTAGACCACCTAGGGGCACAGTCTGCAGAGGGTATTTATGAAGTGATACTCAACAGCACCTTCAAAATATTGCTGTGTGGGAGCAAGGGGGCAGTGGCTGTGTTGTGCGTCTCTAGGGATGTGCTCCTCCTGCTTGTGGTGTTTTTGTTGTTTGTTTGTTTGTTTGTTTTACCCATGCTGGTAAAAATTTGGATAGAGTGCAATGGGCCCTGGCCAACCAGCAGGTGTCCTCCCACATCAAGCTGCACACACCGTGAAGTGCCATGGCCCTAACATTTGCAGTTTAGCCTGCAGCTGTCCCTTGCTATGAGTAAAAAGCATGGAAGAGGTGAGACCCTCCGTTGGTATCAGCTTGGCCCAGTGCAGTTTCTAAGGCTATGAATCTCCCTACATGGCAACTACTGACATCAGAATGACCTTGAAGACTCTGGCAGAATCCTGAGGACTGGAGGTTTGAGATAGATTGAGCCAGATGCAGTGGTGCATGCCTGTAATCCCAGCCACTCAGGAGGCTGAGGCAGGAGGATCACAAGTTCAAGACCAGCTTCAGCAACTTAGTGAGGCCATAAGCAACTTAGCAAGACCCTGACTCAAAATACAAAAATAAAAATGGATGGGGGATGTGGCTCAGTGGTAAAGCATCTCTAGGTTCAATCCCCAGGACCAAAACAAACAGACAAAAACCATAAAGTGGTTGAATTTCTTGCCTGGTCAGTCTAAGGCCTGGAGGATTCAGAGCTATTCTGGGAGCAAGGATGGGCCTTAGAACGTTGGTACTCCTGCCCTCGGCCCCATTGAAACCTCCAGCCTGTTCCTTCACTGACACCTCGAGGTCTTGTTTCAGGTCATATCCACCCTGCCTGCCTCCCCATGTATGGACAGACCTTCAGCCTCAACGAGACCTGCTGGATTACGGGCTTTGGCAAGACCAAAGAGACAGATGGTGAGAGGCAGAGATGCCAGGCTGTGTGTACATGCGTTTGGACATGTGTGTGTGTGCACACGTGGTGGGGGGCATGTCTGGGTATACAGATGAGGGTCTATCTAGATGATGGTTTGGAGATCATTCCCCAACTTGCATGTGAATGTGTTGTTCAGACCCCTGCATATGTATCAACCAGTCAATGTGACAATGCCCTCCAGGCAAGACCACCAGGGAAGGCCCTGCTGTTGAACAAGTTGGGTTCAGTGCTCATGGCAATGAGGGAGAACTCACCTGGTGGAGAACTGTGGGGCATTTCAACCAGAGGACATTGGGAAGGGCTCAGCACAGGTGGGTGGCATGGGAGTGTTCAAAGAAGTAGGACTTTTCCCTAGATTGGATGTAGTCAGGCAGCAGGGGAAACTCTATAATTGGGGAACTTAATAATCTTATCCAAAAGGAAGGGAGTCTATAGCTATGGTGGTGGAGGAGCAGCGGTCCCTCATGTGGCTGAGAGAGGGTGTTTGTGTGGTTCACACAGTGGCCTTTTATTGGCCTGACCTTAAACAGGACAGAGAAGGAGTCTTGTTGTTCTGTGTTACTGTGTCCCAGTCACAGAGTGCCTTACCCGATGTCGGTTCTATAAAATTGTTCATGTCTCTCAGGAGGACAGCACAGTCCAGCCAGCCTGGCTCTTGGACTCAGGCCAGCTCCATGAAGTCAGGGCCACTTTTCCTGAGATGAAGCAGTGTTTGGTTTGGGCTCAGCCCTTTGATCTTACCCCCATCACTGACCAGCCATGTGGCTGTGACTTCAGCCCTAGGTTGCCCCCCTGTAAGTGGGTCAGTAAGGCCTGCCCTCTTTAGGGCACATAGTTTATGAAAACAAATGAAGTGACATCGCTGATGGTGCTTTAAACATGCACCAGCGTGTTACAATGTGTCAGGTGGCCACGCAGCTGGTGAGTTTGTGCATATGTACGTCCCTGTCCTATATGCAGTGAGCTGTGTTTTGTGAGAAGGTGTGTGTGCCCATTTGTCTTGGGTGTCCCACCACAGAGAGCCTCCCTTGGCCTGGGTCCAGGCATGGGTGGAACCCTCTGCTCCCAGGAGACTGAGTCTGCATCCGGTGGTGTGTGGTTAGAGGGCCATGAAGCCGTCTAGTCTCAATGGCTTCCCATCTTCTCTCCTTCTACTCTCACTTCATTGAAGAGAAGACATCCCCGTTCCTCAGGGAGGTGCAAGTGAATCTTATTGACTTTAAGAAATGCAATGACTACTCAGTGTACGACAGCTACCTTACCCCACGGATGATGTGTGCTGGGGACCTTCGCGGAGGCAGAGACTCTTGCCAGGTGAGGCTCAGGGCCCAGGACCCTGGGCTGGGGGAAGGCTGGGGTGTTGGGATTGGCATGGGAATCGGGCCCCACCCTTTCCTGCTTGGGAGGCCCTCCCCCTCCTGGCTGACATGCTGACTCTCCCTTATAGGGAGACAGCGGGGGACCTCTTGTCTGCGAGCAGAACAACCGCTGGTATCTGACAGGTGTCACCAGCTGGGGCACGGGCTGTGGCCAGAGAAACAAACCGGGTGTGTACACGAAAGTGACGGAAGTCCTCCCCTGGATTTACAGCAAGATGGAGGTGAGAGCCCTGCCCAGGGATACTATGGAGGCAGGCTGAGGACTCCCCAAAGTGGGAGCTGGCGGAGGGCCCAGGCTTTTCCCCGAGGTGTAAACAGAAGTCCCCTCGGCCCTTTGCATTTGTTCAAGGCAGAGTCAGATGTCAGGCCCTGGAAGCCAGCTCCAGCTGTCCGGGTTTCTTCCCCTCCTTTCCTTCCCTCAACAGATCCCAGAGAGAGTAAAAGGGTCCACCTGGGCTCAGTCCCAGCCTCAGTACTCCTCTTCTCTCCCAGGGATGGCCAAAGTGTGAGTTCTCACAGGCCACTGAAGTGACCCTTGGAGTGGGTTAGGAGGACTCCCTCCATGGCAGGATATTGAGCATCAGGAAGCAGGATCTGCCCCCAACTCTGCTGACCCAGCTCAACCCCAGGCCCCCTGTCTGTAGCCGGGAGACTAGCCTTGGCTCTGGGGCAAGGGCAGAGTAGTGGAGAGCTCAGAGCGGCCAGAAACCAGCGCATGGGGCTCTCAGGATGCTTCTGTCTTCCCTCCGCTGCCTCTCTTCTCTGATGGCAGTGCCAGGTGACCACTGGGCTCATTTTGGGTTTCTGTTCTCCTCTCTTCCTCAGAGTGAGGTGCGCTTCCGGAAATCCTAACCAGCTCCACCTGACGGCATGAGCTGCTTTGAAGACTGGCCAAAGGCACTGTGCCATGTCAATATCTGGGCTAATGGTCACCAGGCACCTTCGTTAATCCCACCTCCACTGTCTGCTGCCTCTTTGAGTGTGCGTGTGTGTGTGTGTGTGTGTGTGTGTTGTTGTTGTTGTTGTTCTTCCAAGTTCTTCAGAAACCAGGAGAGCTGTCAACTCTTCTTGGAATCTCAGGCTGGAAGTCTTCTGGAGATGTGAATTTGGGCTCTGTGGATGTTCCCATGGGGAGTCCATAGATGGACAGAGGAGGCGAAGCCAGCACAGAGCCTGGGGAAGGGCCTGGAAAGTGACATCAGGAATTCTTGCTTCTCTAACCCTGACTAGGAAACTAGCCCAGAGTGGGCAGATACCCAACATCCCACGTGACACTATTGCTGTCCTGGGACAGATAATGATTTTGTTGGGAGTGCCAGCCTTTCCATGCCTGGACCATCCTCAGCAGAAACCAGTTCCATTGGCATCACAAGCATGGCACTCTCACTCAGACTCCTGCATGTGGATACCCGGAATTGAACTACACTGTCCAGGCTGATGACTGTGGCTCGGGCACACCGTATTTGTTTGGTCACAAGCTATTGGGGCAGATTTTATTTTATTTTTATATTTAAGAAATAGAAATAGATGTATTTTAAAAGATTCTCCAGAAGTTCCTGGGGCCTTGAGGGTTATAACTCCAGGGGACTCATGGGAGTTGTACCACTACTATATGTTCTGGCTTCAAGGAACTGGGTGAAGGGCCTTGCTGGACATCTCCAAGGCTACAGCGACAGGAGCCCCTTTGAGATACTCAGGGAAGCAAATCCTCATTTGGGCTGGCAGGAAAATCCAACACGAAGAGAACCACAAACTGTTCCTGCCTCCGGGGCTACAGCCAAGGCATGAAGAAATGAAGACGTGGTTGTTGCTCCTATTTAGCCCCAGGAGCCCCAGGGAAGTTCACATGGGCAGCATCCCTACTGTCCAGAACTATCCTGGGACTGTGAGGATTTGTTCTCAGCTTTCTCAATCTTTCAGTTCCTTGTTGTTCCAGAAACATAAGTCTTACTTGAAAATGGCCATGGAGAGAAAGGGAACATGGCCCCCAGGCCCTCCAAACAGCGTCCCTGGGGGATCTGAGCAGGCCCTGCTCCTGCAGGCCATCAGTGCGGCTGGCCTCCTTGCTAACTGAAGGCCTGGGGCTTCCCCGAGCTTTTCTCTGGGGCACCTCCCCAGCCCTACTCTTACCCTTCTGGGGCCATCTAGGCCCCTGTGGTGCTGTGATCTTCAGAGGCAGGTCAAGCAGATCAGCCCAGCCCAGTCGAGGCAGGCAGCCACCCAGGGAAGAGACAACCCTGGAAGGGCAGGCTGGCAGTGGCCAGAATTTGATGAGGCTGGGTACATTGGGGACTGTTATCAAGACTGGGGTGAAGGGCAGCGCCCAGCAATAAAAGTTGTGTGACCTGCAGAAGTGGTTGTGTGTTTTACTGGCCACCTAGGTAGAACATCAGGGTTGCCCACCGCTGTCCAGACATCTCAGTCACAGATCTTAGTTTGGGTTCCTCTCTTTGGGTTCTGCTCACTTAGTCACACATCTATTCATGTACCTGTTCATAGGTTGTATCAGCGTCTACTCCACTAGGTCCTTGTGCTGGGCCCAGGAGGTTCAGAGACAACAGACTCCTCCAGGACCTGGGTCATGACCCAGGGTGATGGCAGCCCTGGTGGAGTGTGGATACCATGCTTGGAACATGAACAAGGAGTCTTCTGGGCACACCTAGAGAGGTCAGGGAGGCTTTGCAGAGGAGGTGAGGTTCCAAATGAGTCGTAAAGAGTAGATGCAGCTTCACAAAGTAGACAACAGATGGAAGGGGCAGAGGGAAGGGTGCTCCACGGTCTGTCCTTTTCCTTCTTCCTTTATCCTCTACCTCTGCCTTGGCCAGCTCAGCAAGAGGCATGTTTACAAGGAGGCTACCATGCTTACTCAGCTATTTTCAAGAATATCGGATGGGTGCTCCCATCTAAAAGGTCCACCCCTTCATGCTCTGCAGTCACGTTCCCTGCAATTAATATAAAGACCTCAGTGATTTCGATCCCACTGGTGAATTCCCAGCACCCCATGTCGCCAATGCACACAACATTCATGCTTCTACACACGGCACAGAATTCTGCAGGCCTGCTCCCATGTGTGAGGCCTTTGGATGCCTCAGTTTTGTTTGTTCTAGTCTCTTCTATCAATGCCAGGGCAAATCCTTCCTCTGATTCTTTTCTTGGAGCAAAAAGGTGTGGGAAGGAGATGGTGGCCTAGGCGGAGTAACACGTACCTACTCTAACGGTTCCCACAGTTGCCGTGGTTTAACCCAATCAAAGCTTGTTTTTCACCCGCTAGTCTGGTAAAGCCGTTCTGATTAGTAGTAGGCTTTCTTGCACATGGTTTTCCAAGGACTTTCGCTTCCCATCTTGTGATGTTGTCATTTCCATTACTGTCTGCTTCTCACCAGGAAAAAAAAAAAAAAGAAAAGAAACATGAAGAAGGCATATTCACTTCTGAAATGCTCTGGCCCAAAGTGGTGCATGCCATTTCCATTCACATTTCATATGTGCAAGCATGTCGCATGACACCAAGTAGATGAGGTCATACTGGGAACTGTCCTCATTGGCCGATTCCCATGGGAGAACCAGCACTTATTTTGGAGAACAACCAGACATCTCTGCCCACCAGAGGCAGCTGGTGATCACCTCAGAAGCCAGGCCGTGGACAGAAGGTTAGGACTTGGGCTATTTCTACTCCTTTCTCCTCAGAAATCAGGCCCTTTCCCATGGCTCTCAGGCTTTCTGGGGCATAAGTTGATTGGCAGGTGTGTATGGGGGAGTGAGCAGAAAAATAGAATAGAGAAAAAGCTACCTCTAGATAGAAAAAGAAAAACACATTCCTTTGGCCCAGGACATCTATAAAGTCTTCAAAACTCACAGAAGAAGGGTGATGGGCTTCCCTGAGTGGTCCAGAATCTACAGGGAGGTCTATGGTGGTGATGGGGTATAGGGACACTGTTTTGTGTCCCTGATTCCAGGCATTGCCAAGTACCAGTCAGAGCCTCTGGCTTTGCCAACTCTATTGAACGCTGAATTTCCATGAAATTTCCCTGGGGAAGGAGAGGGAAGCCAAATGAGTGTGTCAGGTGTAGGGCAGATGATGGCTCTTGGGCAAAGGAGTCACTTACAGCCTAACTGGAGATCCAGCTGCCTCTGGGGTTTGGTTAAATTCCCAAGAGCCATTGTTTCCCACAATGGCTTAGCTGTTGTTTTGGGGTGTTGCATGTGGCGGGTTTCTCATAAGGATAATGACGAGGAAAATGATGATAACAGCCAGCACTTGCTGAACGTTTGCTAGGTGCCAGACGCCGGGCTGAACACCTGATGTGCTCTCTCTCCTCTAAGCAGAGTGACCCCGTGAAGTAGGCAGTGTTGAGCTCCTGATTTTACAGATGAGAACACAAAGGCCACGAGAACTGAAATAAACCTCCCCGAACGACGCAACAACCAAGTGGCAGAGTTGGACTTTGAACCGGCCTGTCTGGTTGGAAGAGCTGCTTTTCTGCACTCCACACACGCTGCTTTCCAGTGTCAGGCAGAGGCCTCCTGGCTATGACCTCCTAGGCTCACCATCTGGCTCTGGATCTTTCCAGGGACAGGGGCAACTCCCCAGAGAAGACTGGGCACACTCCTCAGAATGTCACATGACCAGAGCTTAGTCTAGGTAGTGTCTGGAAGCATGGACTAGGGCATCCTGAGTGGGAGGAGGCCCCTCCCCCAGCTTCAGCTGAAGAAGTTGGTTTCCAGGTCACCCTCCTGAGCCATGACAGGCCGTCACCCAGGACACCTCCATGTCTCCTCAGTGAGGGTGGGTGGCTCTGAAAGGCACATGCCTTTCATTCCCTAACCTCCTCTTCATTGGTACAGGCTTCCTGTTGCTTGAAAATGATGTTGCCCAGTGCAAGAAGTAAGCACCTTGGTGGCCTTACAATGGGTCTGTCCACAGAAGGGGGGTGTGTGGGGGGGTGGACCTGCTCTGGAGATAAGCAGCTCTGGACCACTCAGGAAGGAGGCTTTGTTAGACGACATCTCTTAGAAAGGTCAGGGCACAGCCTGGTTTTTGATCCTCCCCGACTCAGCTCCTTTTAGCAGGGCAGGGGATGTGGACACAATAGGATGCCTTCTCTGTCCAAGCCCTGAGTCTTACAAGTGGTTCTTCACTTCTCAAGCAAGGAAGGATGTGGGAATCTGCTTTGAATAATTCCTCTTAATTACACCATTGTAGAGGAATGAGCACTGGGGTTGGAATCAGGTACCTGGAGGTACAAATTCCAGCTCCACCGCTTACTCAGGTATGTGATCTTGGACTCCATGATTTTAGCAATGTGATCTTGAGCAAGTCAGCATCTTTGTTTCTTCATAATTAAAATGGGTATATCAATCCCACATGTTGTTGCAAAATTAAATGGAACAATACATGTAAACATGCCAGGCAAAGTGATTGGTATGTTGTGACCTTTGAACAAATGTTGAATTTGCAGAAATAAATAGATAAATAAATAAAAAAGATGAGCTGGGATTGTGGCTCAGTGGTAGAGCACTTGCCTCACAAGTATGAGGCCCTGGGTTCGATCCCCAGGACCACATAAAAATATATAAATAAAATAAAGGTATTGTGGTTTACAACTAACTAACTAAATAAATAAAGAGCCAATCTTTTATCACTATATTCTTTCACCAAAAAAATGAGGTGAGAAGGAAATGTGGATAAATCTTCAGGTCCTAGAATATTAGCTCTTTCTCTGCAGAAACTTTCTTCTTAGTTTTTTTGTAACAATGAGGTGACCTTCTAGGAGTTGATACTACCGTCTAGGGCAGATGGATCTTCCAGCGGGTGGTTTCTTTAACTCATGGATCTCCTCTGAGTTGAAGTCACC